GTGAGGTGTTCAAAGAAGAACTGGGCAGAATCCCGGTGAAGGTGGCGCTCAGACTGAAGGAAGGCGCCAAACCGGTCTATCGACGCGCCAGACCGGTGCCGTTTGCGCTACAGCAAGATATCGAGCGGGAGCTCGACAAGTGGCTGGATCAAGGGATCGCCGAGAAGGTGCCTCCTGGACACTTCTCCGGATGGGGTACGCCGCTCGTACCCATCCCCAAGAAGGACGGCGTGCGGCTGTGCGCGGACTATCGGATCACGGTGAACCCGCAGCTGCAGCCTCTGAAGTATCCGATGCGCACGCCGGAGGAGCTATTCGCCAGCATCCGAGGGAAAAAGTTCTGCAAGCTGGACTGCAGGAACGCCTATCTCCAGTGTGAGCTGGACGAAGAGAGCCGAGAGATGACCACCGTGACCACACACCGTGGTGCGATGCGGATGAACCGTCTCCCGTACGGGATCAGCACCTGTGGAGCGCAGTTCCAGGCGATCATGGACCAGGTGCTGGATGGTCTTCCAGGAGTCGTCTGTTACCTGGACGACGTGCTGATCGGCGCCGACAGTGACCGTGAGCTGATGGACAGGCTGGACCGGGTGCTGGAGCGGCTGAAGGACAACGGCGTCCGCCTCAAGAAAGAGAAGTGCCAGTTCGGAGTCCGAGAAGTGGTGTATCTCGGTTGGCGACTGTCTGAGGCGGGTCTGCGCCCGGTGCAAGAGAAGACGGCGGCCGTCACAGCAGCACCTGACCCTCGGAACGTGCAGGAGCTGCGATCTCTGATCGGGTCAGTCAGCTATTATCAGCGGCTGCTGCCCAACCTGTCTACCGTGCTAGCGCCGCTCTACGCGCTACTGAAGACGGGCGTCAAATGGGCATGGACGGCGGAGTGCGCCGCGGCAGTGCGCCGTGTGAAGGACATGCTGTCCACGGCGCCGGTCCTGATGCGGTACGACCCCGTGCTGCCGCTGCGGCTCGTCACGGACGCCAGTGCGACAGGAGTCGGAGCGGCTCTGATGCAAGTGACGCCCGAGGGGCTCGAGAGGCCGGTACAGTACGCCTCCCGAACGCTCACTCCGACGGAGAGGAAGTACGCCCAAGTGGAGAGGGAAGCCGCAGCCGTCTCGTTCGGAGTGCGGCGGTTCCACCAGTTCCTGTTTGGTCGGCCGTTCACCCTGGTGGTCGACAACAGGACGCTCTCCAGGATCCTAAACCCGGACCGTGAGCTGCCATCTCTGGCGGCGGCTCGCATGCAAAGGTATGCGCTGCAGCTCGCGGCGTATCAGTACAAGATCGAGCTGCGCCGGACGGAGGACATGAGGCTGGCGGACACGATGTCCCGTCTGTCGGTGCCGGACGAGGCGGAGAACCGGCTGTCGGCAGAAGAGGAGGCGGCGTACGGCGGAGGCGGCGTAATGTTCATCGCCGAGCAGGGGCCGTGTCTGACCGCGCAGCAGATAGCAGTGGCCACGCGCCGAGACCCGGCGCTCGCCCGCGCTCTGGCGGCGGTGCGATCGGGCTGGCCGGCGGTGGTGGACCCGGACCTGGCTCCCTTCAAGAATCGCCGAGAGGAGCTGACGACTGAGGCCGACTGTCTGCTCTGGGGCGGCCGAGTCGTCATCCCGAGCAGCCTGCGCGACACCGTCAAGCGGGAGCTGCATGAGGGTCACTTCGGCTGCACTCGCATGAAGCAGCTGGCGAGGCGCTTTGTGTGGTGGCCGGGACTCGATGCTGAGCTGGAGGCGCTGGCTCGCGGGTGTCAGGCGTGCGTCTCAAAGCGAGCTGAGCCGCCGCAGGCGACACGGCACCCGTGGGAGCCGACGGACGGCCCGTGGCAGCGGGTGCATGCCGATTTTGCCGGACCTCTGAAGGGCACCTGGTTCCTGGTGATGGTGGATAGTTTCTCCAAGTGGGCTGAAATGATCCCAATGAAGACGACCACGTCCGAGCGGACCGTAGCGGTGATGAGGACGGTTTTTGCTCGTCTCGGACTACCACTGGTGCTGGTAACGGACAATGGCCCACAGTTCACGAGCCAGGAATTCGCCCAGTTCGCCAGCTCTAACGGGATCCGACATGTCAGAGTGGCGCCCCATCACCCATCGTCTAATGGGATGGCGGAGCGAGCGGTCGGCTCGCTAAAAAACTCACTGAAGGCGACTCTGGCAGCAGACGACAGCGGAGGCATGGAACTGGCGCTCGCCCGAGTTCTGATGGCGTACAGAGTGACGCCCCACGCCGCGACCGCACGGACTCCCGCTGAGATGCTGTTCGGGCGGAACCTCCGCACTCGTATGAACCTCATGGTTCCGAGCGCCGAGACAGCTCTGCAGGCGGCTCGGGACCGGCAGCGTGAGACGGCCGGCGGACGGAGCAGGGAATTCGCCGTGGGAGCTACAGTGTGGGCCCGCTCGTATGACGGTCGTCAGAAGTGGGTCCGCGGCACGGTGGTCGCCCGCCCCGGTCCCGTGTCGTATGAAGTGGACGTGGGACACGTGATCTGGTCGCGCCACGTTGACCAGCTGTTGGCGGCGGCGGCGGACCCAGGGAACAGCGCCGGCGGTGACGTCAGAGCGGCCACCGGCGGTAGTGTCCGAGCGGCGACCAGTGGTGACGTCAGAGCGACGACCGGCGGTGACGTCAGAGCGACGACCGGCGGTGACGTCAGAGCGACGACCGGCGGTGACGTCAGAGCGACGACCGGCGGTGACGTCAGAGCGACGACCGGCGGTGACGTCAGAGCGACGACCGGCGGTGACCGGGCTGGTGGCGCCGGCGGCAGCGCCGGGCGCCCTGTCGGAGACGATCGCGCCAATGGCCTCGGTGACGGCAGCCGCGCCGGCGTCGCCGGTCAGGCCTGTGACCGGGGAGCAGTCGGCCTCGGCCGTGCCGGTGATCTCGGCGGCGGCGGGGATGCCGGTGACCCCGGTGGCTACGGCCGTGCTGGTGACCCCGGCGGCGGCGGTAGTGCCGGTGACCTCAGCGGCGGCGGTGATGCCGTCAGCAGCGGCGGTAGTGCCGGTGACCTCGGCGGCGGCGGTGATACCGGTGACCTCAGCGGCTACAGTCACACCGGCGGTGGCGGTGACGGCGGCGGCAGGGGCGGCGGGGACACTGAGGGCCCCTCGCAACGCCGTTCCGCTCGGCGCCGGAGGTGCCCGAGGCGACTGATCGCCGAGGTTTAAAATGTGTTTGTTTCCACGTTCCGACGCGTAATGTGTTTGTTTCCACGTTCCGACGCGTAATGTGTTTGTTTCCACGTTCCGACGCGTAATGTGTTTGTTTCCACGTTCCGGTTTAAAATGTGTTCCGTTTTAAAGGCGGCAGGTTAAAGTGAATGTGTTCCGTTTTAAGGGCGGCAGGGTGTGGTGTCGCGAGCTGCTCCCCCCCCCTGCCCCGGGGCCTGGCGACGCCAGTTGCTCCCCCCTGCCCGGGGGCCTGGCGACGCCATTGGCGGCGCCGGCGCGCAGACGCGGGGTTCGAGAGCAGTCGGCCGCCGGCCCGCGCGGAGCGCGGTTGTGGTAGTAGCGATCGGTGTTTGGCGCTCTAGGAAGGTTAACGCAATGCGGCTTTGGTTGTGAATAAAGAGCTCACGTTATAACAGTACCTTCCTGGAAAATCACGCCCAGGGAGGTGTCCAACTTATTGGAATATTACCATGATTGCTTGTCAAAATGTGTGTCATCATGCTCTTGTTTGACAAGTGATGTATAATAAATGTGACATTCAAAAATGACCTCCTGACTGTTGAGTGATTAGAATCTTCAAATAATCAGTGTACAATGCTGTGCATCATAGTGCACACTAGTCATGTTGTTTTTGTGTAGGCCCTCTGCGCATTATTGTGTACACTGCCATGTGCACCTTAAGGAAAAAAAGTGACTAGTGGTGCATAAAAAAGGTTGTGCAATTGTGAAGTTCATGCCCTTGGTCTTGCTGGAGCCAAATGCCTATAGCTATAGCAGGATCAGTGAGGGTTGTAGACATGCTACATACACTGTGAATTGAAGATATTGGCACAAAGTTCACCCATAGGTAATTACTATGCTTAACACCTAATGTAAGAAGCAACATAAATGCCCAGGTGATACAGCAACAGCTCTCTGGTCAACATCACACAAATTTATTGACATACTTTGCAGGTACATATTTACATTCATAGCAAATACTTTCGATTTGATTCAATAACTAGGTGCTAGTAAGCTTGCATTTTTGTAGGTACAACAATGAACATATATTTAATCATAAAAAACTTTCTCGTGGCATTAATCACATACCTTTTTACCGAACAAGTACCTATCTACCATGCAATGATTCTAAATTTTGTCCGCAATGTACCTATATCTCAACTGACACATTGAAATTGAAATACCCTAACAAAACCTAGAACTGTACAAAAGGAGAATGCAATTCTACAAGAACTATGAAGTTCTGAAGTTATTCTCACATGCTGGAATGTTGAAACTCTACTTTTGTCGTCCATTTCCACGTTTCATTGAGCAATCATATAGAACTGTTTTCGCTCTTCAGTCATAAGCTTTTGCACAAATCTTGAATTTTTACACATCATCTTGAACCATGCTCCAGTCTTTCCAACAAGGTACTATGGAACATCAAAGCAATTTTGATTTGTTGCAACAGCTTCAGATCATGATGGCTTGAAGTTTGTTACACCATTTGCCAGACAAACCTCTACAAAATGTGTATCAATTCCCAAAACTAAGCAATTGATTATATCAGTATTTGCGGTTTCCACACAATGTTTCATAATATTATTCGATTTTTATATCAAGAAACCCAAATAATCCACAAATTGTTATTGAAACACTCCCACTTCAAGAGTTCACAGCAATAACAATACAAGTTCAGAAGCAAATAAACATTGCGCCAGATTTCGTATGAAACGCGCCATCATCCTGAAGTTTCTACCACAGACGGTAGTTTAACCGCAGCCGTAGTGCGAAAACCCCTGCTTAGAAGCGCGCCGATTTGGCAATTTTCATGACGAAGCGCGTGGGCACGTGGGCACGTGTCGCACGTGTGTATCGTGTGTATTGCGCAGTATTGCGTATTGTTGCGTATTATTGTTGCGCGCTGTGCGGTGTTGTGTGTGTTGTGTGTACGTTTATGTGTTTTTACCGAACCCAACTACGGACGCTCTGAGCCCGACGAAACTATGCGCCCTAAACCAAGAAGAAGAATAAGTTTATGTGTCAGTGTTTAATTTCTGGATTCTGTTCTTTGTTCATCAACGAGCTAGAATAATATCAAGTAAAATGATGTTAGAGTCACAATTTACTTTGATAGATGGTTTGTTAGTGTTTTAATCCTCGCCGGCACAGGCCATTTTGCGTCCTTCGACGGCACAAGCGGCACTGCGTCCTTCGTTGGTACGACCCCCCCCCCTCGCGTTTGGCCCCTGATTGAGCTAGAGGTTCGCGGAAAAAAACAAGCGTGTTGCCCGTCACGAGAGGAAGCCGATGATATCCAAATTTAAGGTTCTAGATCATCGAGTGACCTTCCAGGTCAGGTTAATGACCCGAAAATGGGGAAAATCGGGACCCGTTAGAAAGTCGTAAAGTGTGGCTGCTGTGGGGTTTTCCAGGGGGCTGATCAGTGATCACGAATATCGTGTTAGTTTTGATCAGAGATGATGTCTTTAACCCGCGCCCCGTAGGGCTACCGGCGGACCCTACCACCCGTAGGGGGCCGGGGGGCCGTTTCGGCCCCCCCTAAGATCTCGGAAATTTACCGGCCAATTTTCAAAATTCAAATGGCGTTCGATAGCCCCACCAGGGAACTACCTTGTGACCAAATTTCATTGACCTAGGTCAAACCGATGACGTCACAGGTCAGGTCAAAGGTCGGATTTTCACCGTTCACAGGCATTTCAAGAAATGTGTTGTGAAATCGAGTAAATTGGTAAGTCATTGAAAACCATCGATGGTATATTGCTTATCAAACACATGGTTCGCTATCTGAGGTCACTGATACCAGGTCAGGTCACAGTGAGATCAGGTCACCGGGGTCACAATATGAAAGTGTCGTGTGATACAGGTTTTATGGTCCATTTTACATGACAAATGCGATTATGTGGGTCAGGCAGCCTTTGGGGCCAGCCCAGGTCACGTTTTGGTGAAGGTCAGGTCAAGGTCAGGTCAAATTAGGTCAAATTTCAAAGTTGATATTTTGCATAAAATGGGTATCGATTCGATGCAGCTCGTCACGGGGAGTCCAATGGTGGTCTTTGTTTTGCCCTACGGGGTCTAGAATTGACAAAAATTGAGTTTGAAAATTGGACGTCATCATTTTTGAACAGTTTTTTCGCTGTAACAGTTGGCCAAAAAAACGAGATATCGATCTGAAATTTGGTATGCAGATAGAAGACGGTAGGTTCTATCACATATATTCCGTTTTTTCGAAACTTTTTGGATTTTTTGGCTAATATATCCAAAAAATTGATTTTTTGATTTTTTTTTTGGTTCTATCACATATATTCCGTTTTTTCGAAACTTTTTGGATTTTTTGGCTAATATATCCAAAAAATTGCTTTTTTGATTTTGGGGGTCAAAACTCAAAAATTTCAAAAATCCGAGATAGCAGTTTTGTAGCCCTGTCAATTCTACATCTTTTATGTCTTTATCATTTTTCTGTATCTTCAAAGCTGTAGGCCTGACAGCTCTTCTCGCGAAGGTCTTTTTTCGGTCGAAAATGGCAGAACATGACGTCATTCTGACGTCATTTGTGGCCAACCTATCATAGCCTCTGGAAAATTTTTGGTCACAATGTGTAAAATTGATGCCCAGAGGGGTCCTGAAAGTTTGGTGGCGATATCTCTAGCCGTTTAGGAGATATCGACGGAAAAGGACAGGGGGGACCGTTTCGGCCCCCCCTCCTACGGGGCGCCCGGCGCGGGTTTTAAGCATTTAGACCAGGTCGGGTCAACCTGTAGGGGTCGTGACTGGTATTCGTAATAGGTACGTGTCAACCGCCTTTGACAGCTTCGTAACATGTTACGAAGGCACCAAAACTATTTCGTTAATGTTCAAATGGTTGCTAAATTCGAAATCAGCTCCAAAAACTAGCCTAGAAACATGTAAAACTCGAAAAAGTGAACCGAGGTCAGCAAAGGTCATTGACCTGACGTGACCTTCAGAGGTGACCTTGACATTCACCCTAATGCATGGGAGCAACATCAAATCACATGTTTGACCGTTTGAAACCACGAAAAGCTTGCAAACGCGCGACTTATGCGAGCCGACATACGCCGAATCGCGATTCCGGCCAAACATGGTCTCGGAAAGTAGGTCACAGGTCAAAGGTCATTTGGGTCAGGGTCATGAAATTTTCAGGGTAGGTGTAAAATTGATCAATGCGAGGGTACTGAAAGTTTCGTCGCGATCGGACGCTTTTTTCGCGAGTTATTCGCGAAACCTTAGGGGGGGGGGTTGCATCACCTTCCCCCCCCCCCCCCCCCCTGTGCCGGCGAGGGTTAAGCATTCATATAGGTACCAATACAAGTGTTAATGAACAAGCTTGATGAGTTGATATAAAGCTTTTACCATGTTTTCAGGTCAAGGTGTGCATGTGCTGGCTTCAGTGCAAGCTTCTGTGATTGCTAGCGAGGCGAGGAGTAGCCCTGCTGCAGTGAGGTGTCCAGCCGTGGGGTGCACCTTAAACATTTCATGGGATCTGTGTTACTTTAGGGATCTTTGCAGTGCAGGGATCTTAACAGTTCCAAACTACTCAGCAACATCATTATGTCCCAGTCTGAGTCAGCATCAGAGGACGGGGAACTGCGACTGTTCAATAGAGACCACCAGAGGGCCATCATGGACATGATCAGAAGTGATGTCGGGTCTGGTGTGATGGACGCTGTTAATGATGATGTGACGGCAGTGGAACAATTCAGTGAGTCACTGCTGTCAGACTCGGATCGTGATGCTAAACCAAAAAGTGAGCCGCCCATACATGAACAGGTATGTTATCTACCTTTTTCCCTTGTTTCCCTGGGAATATCTGCTGAAGATGCATGTGATTTAGATTTTGGAAATGTCAGTGGCCTTTGTTGTCTGTTCCAGGCAAGGTAATGATTAGGTGCCTGACTCTGGTCTTATAATATCTTATCAATTGTCCCTGGTTCAGCTGAGCATAAGCTTCCTCAGTTTTGAAATAACTAGACTGATTTGTGGTCAAATCGCTTTTTTCAGCATGGTTCGGGGCCGGCAGCCAGCCCCAGCGAGCCGACCCCGCCCTCGCCGGCAGTTCCTGTGCGCTCGCCAGTGGCCCGTCTGGGCTCTGCGCCGGCGGTGAACCGCTGGCCCGGCGTGCACGCCTTTCAGGTTACCGTATACCAGCGGCTGGGCACTCCGGCCGGCCGCCAGCCGCCGTACGCGTACAGCCGCGCTGCCGGGAAGCTCTATACGGACATGCTGGTGGCGGTGCCGTTCAGGTTCTCGTACACGGCGGTGGGCGACCCGCGACGGCTGGAGATCCGCGCGCAGCCCGTCTACCTGGATGCGCAGCACGTGCAGAACCCCGTGCGCCGGTGCCCGCACCACCAGGACTTTGCGCTAATGTCCAACGTGCAGAGCCAATACGTGCGTCATGTCCTGCAGACCCAGCACGCACGCTTCAGGTGAGACGCGCCTGCGGAGACCGGCATCAGCCGCATCTTGAATCAATCTGTGGTTTGCGTTTTTACCTACTCTAAAGTCTTACCTCAGTCCTCAACCGTTTTTAGATCGGCACTGCACCGTCGACGATCGTTGAGAACTATTCAAGCTCACTTGATCAATTTATTCACCGCACTTGACTCGGATCATCTTCCGGTCACCAATTCGGGCAGAACCAACATAACTTGTGAGAACAACATATTAAATTGCTAGAGCCTAGAGCCATGGCTGTAGGTACATTTTCACTGTGTGTGCGCTGTTTTTTAGACTGCTCTCCAGTACTCATCACATGCCTGATGCCACTGTGAGAAAGTGATGTCATTGATTAATAATTATACATGTACGCTGAGTTTTGTCACTTTCCTGAAATAATGAATGTGCCTGCCGCCTGGTGGTCGACTGGTCCTGATGGAGTGTTATACGCTGGTTTCGGTGCCGTGCTGTACAAAGCTGACATCTCGGCATGCTCCGTCGCCAGGTACGAGGAGAACGGTGATCGCTGTAGCGTCGTGGTGCCCCTGGAGCCGCTCCAGCCCGCCACCGACCACTACGAGGTTCTGTACGAGTTCACGTGCATGAACACCTGCGTCGGTGGAATGAATCGGCGGCGAATTCTGGCGCTCTTTACTCTGGAGGAGTGCGAGTGAGTTCATATTTGCACCACAGCGTCTTTTTCGCAAAAAGAAGTGGTCTTGCGACATTCGACGGGCCACTATGCACTTATTCCTGCTTTTCCGCTTACGATTGAACTTCTTAGTTCTTGGACTATTGTTAACTCTCGCCGGGCCATGGGGATTGATGCGACCCCCTAAGGTTTTTCGCGAATGACGTGAAAAAAAAAACGGCGGCGCTACAAATTTTGCTTACCTTCTGGGACAACCTTTTGGCACCTTCCTTGAAAGTTTCAGATCTCTGTCATTTCAGGTCAGGTCACCAGGTCACCAAAACTGGTACAATGTCAGCGTAAAATTGGACTATATTAGCGGAAACGGAATCGCTAAGTTTATCGTTTATAGCGTACCTTAAGACTTGGTGCCACCAAATTTTAGACACAACCTGGGGCAGCTATTTGACATGTGTCCTGGGTTTGTGTTCCAATAACTTCAGGTCAGGCCACAAGGTCGCAAAAACCGGTGCATGGTCAAAATGGCACTGAAAATACGCTATTTTGTCAATGAAGCTACGAGTCAAGTCATCGATTTGATACAAACTGGCAGGGTGTGCGAGCCTCACCGAGTTGTATAACCTACGTCCAGGTTTTCCAAGTTCGGGTTACCTGAGGTCATTTAGAGGTCACGACAATTTCTTAGAAAATTGATGCGAATATCTCAAACTGTAATAATGTGCTCCATTTTAACGTTTTTGTGTTGTTGCTCAATTGAAGACGAATTCGGTGTTTTCTTGGCGAAAAAAAAAACATTTAAATCGGGTCATCTGAGGTCTAATGAGGTCAAACTACGTTTTTGCCAATAACTTGGCACACAATGAGGCTAGGGCTTCAAAAATGGTGTCATTGTGTTCCTTGTGATCAGCCGAATCGAATGATATGCGATATGATGCAATTTGGTTAACCTGAATTTAATTAATTTAAGTTCATTTAAAAATTACGAAGATTTTAAGTTCACTCAAACTGGTAACATAGTATACCATTCGATGCGCACGGACGTGCTGAATTGACTGGTGCTTTTCTTTTTGCTCTAGCATAACTAGATCAAAATTAAAGTTAGCAGCGAAAGACTTTTGACCTGTTTTAGCGAAATATTTACCTTTATACCCCCACCCCCACCCCAAAAAAAATATTGACCCAGAGCAACCAAATTTGCACAGGAGTGAGATCTTCTAAGGACCTATATACCCTGTAAATTTGTTGTTTCTAAGTGCCTTAGGAGCCAATCGCCGGTGGGGTTCGTACCACCCCCCCCCCTCCCATCCCCCTGCCCGTCCGCGTTATGAAAAGGCCCTGGCCTGGCGAGGGGTTAATATTTTCATGAAGTGTTACGATTGGTAAGATATGCATAAGTATTCCGTTGATATGCGTATCGCACTCAGTCCCTTTAGGCGTGTGATTGCATTGTGCCTGTAACCTGGCAATATTAACCCGGCAGTTGCTGGGGTATTTCGCCACCCACCGTTTGCTGGGGGGGGGGGGCGTTAAACGCCCCCAGCCGATAACTCGAGAACCAATAGGCGCAGCGAAACGCACGAGGCGGCAAACGAAAGAACGCGACGAGACGCTTCAGATGAATACTTTAAAGTTGAATTTTGAGGTCACAGGTCGGGTCAAGGTCACCTGAAATCGGGCTTTCAGTAGCATGGACTTCAGGACTTCGCAATGGGCGCCTCTCGTCATAAACTCTGTCAAAACGGTGCACAATCCATCATATAAGGCCTACAAGAGTGTCAGCTCCATGTAGGGGTCAGTCAAGCATAGGTCAGGGTCAAGGTCAGGTCAACCGGGCAGGCACATATCCCCGGAAATCAAAACTGATATTCGCAGCCTGTGACACATGTTTTATGGGTAATTTTGGGCGTAGAACACGATGGTGGCATTCATTTTATCATATGTGTACGTGTTTGGCTAAAAAAGTTCAATTTAAGAAATGCATGTATCATGGTCGTGAAGTAGTCACGAGAAATTGCCAAGATTCAGTTCAAGATTTTGGAAAATGCGGAACGATAATCAATAATCGAAGATAGCCATTTGATTGTTCATGGTATTGGCAGTCTAATGGCGCTTACGGTATGTCTGTAGGGGAAAGTGGGGTATGACGGGCATGTTAGTTTTGCGGGTCTGTACCTCTGAAGTCTTTTCTTCGATTGCTTCACCAATTTAGCACAACCATCTTCAGGCATTTTTCTTTCAGTGCCCCTTTGACACCTAAGGTCTAAATCCAATACTTTTCAATTGAGAGTGTTTTTAGCAAGACCCTGCAAAAACCCGTCTTACCCCACCGGGGAGGGTAAGACGGGCACTGATGTTGGGGCAAGACGGGCACAACGTTAGTTTGAACTTCTTTACATATTTACTGCCGAATAATTATGCTAATACATCTTACACATCTGGCTTTTGATCTTACAGTCAATATTGTAAGGTTCGTAGCATCGCACGGCTACTTATAGGCGTAATGGTATTGATCGATGTAATGAAAAAATTAAACAAATTCAAAGCTGTCTATTTAAATAATTTCGATGGAAATGCGTTGCAAATGATGTAGAACAGCGTAAGTTAGCTTAAAATAACAATATCAGATGGTTTGCATTCCTTTCATCATTGTTGCCCGTCTTACCCCATTCGGCTGCCAATAAGGATATCACACCGCCTCCGGGCACCAAATTAAAGGATTCATTCGCCAGCATACACATTTGGATGACACCCTAAGACGAAACTCTCATCAAATTTCCAAAACAAAATATGAAACAGCGAGGTCAGAAAACACTACGAAACACGATAGTTCTGCTTAGAGTGCAAGGCACGTTTTTAGCTTTTCCACAATTTTTCAAAAACTATTTAAGATGCGTACCTCTGCCTTCACCTCACAGCAAAGAACCACACGGCCGATTACCAACCACAACAAGAGGTTGCTAGCGCCAACGGTTTGGGCTAGAGGGCCGGTGCCCGTCTTTCCTACCCCGCCCGTCTTACCCCACTTTCCCCTATGTCTATTCTGTGATTTTATATGATTTTTTGAACATATGCCGTTTTTGGTCGAAAACTCAGAAATCATGACGTCACTAAAAACTCGATGCCTCAAAAATTTTCCGACCGATTTTTTGAAACTTTGTCACAATAAGCTTCAATCAATTCCCTACAGGTACCCAAAATTTGGCGCGCCTGCGGCGCGCCGTTTTTATGCTATGGCCCGGCGAAAAAAGTGGGGGCGTTTAACGCCCCCCTCCCCCCCCCCCCCAGCAACTCGCGGGTTAATGTTACGATGGAGCGACAACCTGGCAACCTGACCGTTGACGGTGAGCTAACAATTTGTCAACCTGACCGTTACCTGGGGCCGACAGGACCGGCCAGGTACTGGGGCGCCAAACCATTGAAGTGAAGGTGTGCAAGTGCCCCCATCGAGATCTGAAGGCCGACGAGAAGCGGCTGGGCCTGGGTCGCATCGGTGACAAGCCTGACAGGAAGCGACGGCTCACGAGCTCGCCGCCGGCGTCGCGCGAACAGCGCCTCGTCGTAGAGGTCAGTGCGCATGATAGCTGTAAGCTGAATCGCTCGCGTGTGAAATGCTCCTGTAGAGGTCTCGCATTTTTTTTTTCAGGAATAGTCTGATGTGCACAGAATGAACAAAGTGACACAAAAGCGGCATGTCGCAGACATCCGGTACACCGCACTTACCCTCCGCGCCTCACACTAGCACAATTAATCATTACGATGCCGACTCTGGCGGAACAGATAAAACATAGAAACAGAGTTAAAATTTCGTCAAATTCCGCCAATCCTAAATTACTGTGTCGCTAGTTTTCTTTACAGCCTATAGCAAATTGCATTTGGATGCGCTGTTTTTCATTCTTATCAGTGAACTTCTTTACACGTATGATGACGATAATGGTAAAGATCAATTTTATATGTTCGCTCGTACATTGAAAGGATCCATCTCATCAGTCGACATCCCCGGTGCGTACAGCGGCAGTTTGTTTCCATGTCGCGATGACAGGCGTGCCTGTGTTGCAGGTGGATGATGAGGAGATGTTCCGGGCCGTTACGGAGGTGCGGGACTCCATGCGCCGTTACCGCCGTCGTGTGAACCCACAGCACGGCCAGGCGCCTCCGCCCCGACAGTGAGCTGTGCTAACTCAGCCTGACCGGTCAGCGTTCCCGCAGGCACCGACCGGCTGGTACACGGCTGGTGATCCCTAGGCACCAACTGGTGACCGCCCTCAGCGAGGAGCGGTGACGGCTGGTGCTGCGGTTCGAGTTGTGATTGGTGATAGCAGAACACTGCCACTGCCAGTAGTTTAACAGGTGGTGTGGCCTTCGTGCTGGACTTTGCCGCGAGCGGACGGCGTTGCACACTGCCCATGCCTGTTGCTTTATTTTGATACAGATACTGTTCCAGTTGACATCGTTGCACTTGTTAACCGAGACATGATGTGCTTTTTAGGAATAAGGATGCTCAATCGTTTACGTTCCGAGTGAAGTGCGGCGCGAATTTTTACAAATCGATCCAGGTGCCATTCATTCCATTCCGCGAGGACCATGGATGAGATTGTATTGGGCAATATCGACGATGCATTTGTCTTTCTAAAGCTGTGGAAATCGAACATAGCGAACTTAGTATGTCACTATTGGGAGATTACCGATATTGAGCTTAGGCTACATATAATATGTCATTAGAGAATATTGTCCTTGAAGTTAGGTTTGGTACTTAAATGAGATGCAATGGGATGGGCGGATTTAAGTGACCCGCTCGAGGATGTGCTTTTCCAGCTTGTCCATTCGACCGGTCTAGTCTAAATTGCGTTCATATTCCAAATGACTAGCATAACAATTAATAAGTGGTATGCTCTCAGTATCTGTTGGTCATGTTTTTGTGGTTCGCTACGATCCGGTGCGACTGTGAGACAGAAGTGCATTTTAGTAATCCGAGCCGAGCAACACTTTTCTAGAAGAACAATTTTGGCTTGTTTTACTTTGTAATAAACGGCCGAATATTGAAAGCGATGTTTTACTGCTTCAACCAAGGATGGCAGCCGAAGAAGCTGGCACATTTTGTTCTAAAAAAAAGTCGCAGGAAACTCTGGTCATTTTATTAGAAATGTAATGTCTGAATTCCCGACGGGAGACGTCTGGTAATTTCATGCATGTACCGCTATAACTTGGGCCTGCCATTTACAACTCTGGTCATACGTACGCACAGGTTGAAGGTGAACTGCTCGCTCAAACAATGTAAGCTGGCCCGAATTTGTGTGCGAATTATCTCTAAAGATCATCAATGTGAATAATCAGACATGATTTCATATATTTGAGAGAGGATATCAATCACAAAATCTTATGACACCAATTTGTTGTATTTTGATACCAATTCGGTACTAAAGCATTTTTTATTGTTGTCCTCCTCGCTCGATTATATCAAAATATCTGTCAATCTATCAGTAGCTTCAGAACTTTGCCGGCATCTCGCCGAATGTCTGCCTAGCAGCAGATGCGTGAGTAAGTATTTTTGCAGTAAATTAGTTCTACATACTGAAGTACAAATAAAGCGCAAGCGCTGCAAAACATTTATGCCATTTTCTGTTCTAGAGCTCTGTTTGCAGTGTAAATAATTTTCCGCAGGCAGCAAGTAGACCAAAAGGCCAACGGCTAGCAAACATAATAAGCAGTACGCACGTATACTTTCAAACACGAATAATGTCTAACTCGATTTCGGTCGGTGGTTGGTTGGCGGCATTATAGAGTTCAGTGGTTGGCAGATAGGTTGGCTATGTTTAGAGTTCAAGTTTACTAATAGATACTCGAGTGTTCGCACTAGACCAATAGAGTACTGTAGAGTTTGCTAGTACGATTGATTGATAGGCAGCAAGAGAATATACTTATTTGATACCTATCGTCTGTTATTGACTACTGTCTACAGGTTGAGGTAGGTATACAGTATTGAGTATACAGGTCAAGGTGTAGGAGGTACAGCCCTCTGCAAACTGCGTGGTACGTATTTTTTTTCGACAAAAACTAGAATAACGTGAATACTATGCTATCGGTCATTCAGAAATTGTAACAGCAAGACGCATGAGACTCCGCGCCTGAGGTTGACATCATCACCGTAGGCGTATTCATTTTGATTTTCCATTTAGTTTGGCGGCAAGTGGCAACAAAACCCAAAAGTTTATATTTGCTCCCAGAACAAACTTTTGCATTTTGTTGCCACACAAGGTGTATACTTTGTTTAGTGATAGACCTAATCGAAGGAGTGGAGCATGGCACATCTATTTGCAATTAGTTCCGACAGACTGATAGCATAGCCTTTGAGTTATTATCCGTTATGTTGAAAAAAGAATACCTACCACACAGTCTGCTGAGGGCTGTGCTTGTCATGAGCTGTGGCAGCTTGGCAAACTATTTCATTCTATTTCAGTTTGAGGACCCCAGAAGTGAGGTCATAGTCTTTCATAAAAAGTACAGTGTAGCACGGTCCTACCCCAGTAAACATGCCGACGTCGGCCCGACGTCGGCCGACGTCGGGGTGACGTCGGCAACTCGGCATCGGCATGCCGACGTCGGCCCGACGTCGGTCCAACCTCGGCACGACGTCGGCTGGATGTCGGATATGCCCGCATGTACCGACGTCCAGCCGAGGTCCAGCCGACGTCGGGCCGACGTCGGACCGAGATCAATTGCTGAGGTCCAGCCGACGTCGGGCCGACGTCGGGGCGACGTCGGACCGACATCGGCCGCTGTATTGACCAGGGGCGCGGGAACTACGTTACGACTGGGGGGGGGCACACCATAATAGAGATCAACCTAGGGTACCCCCAAATCTAGTTTTCTCACCGGTTTTAGGCCACTTATTTTTCACCCCCTCGGCTTTTTCAACAAAAAAAGAAAACATTTGCAAAAAAAGTGTGGTATTCCGTCTCAAAGCTGTGGGGGCACCGCCCCCACGGCCCCAGAGTTGGGGGGGGGGGCAAGCTGCCCCCACTGCCCCCCCGGCTCCCGCGCCTATGGTATTGACCGTTAAAATAATATAAAATACATGTTTCATGTTTCATAAAAAGCTTCTGTATTCAAAATATCATCAGGAAACTCAAATCTTCCTCCACGCCGCAACCCCCTGATCCGGACTGGACGGGAAACTTTATCCCATTTGGGATTGCCCGTAAGCCGAGCTCGCCCGTAGCCGGGTGCGGTGAGTGCTTGGGGGCTGCTCGGCCTATCCTTTGGTCAGGCTCAGCCCCAGCAACTCACCAGGGCCGGGCCCAGTTCATATAGAAAGGCCAGTCGGCAAGTGTCACTTTGCCAAAGTGCCACTTATGAAAGGGACACTTTGGGAAACGTTGGTGCAGGTGTGTAAGAGTGGCTATATGAATCCATTGTGGGGTCGCCCTTTCCAATAAGTGTCACGTAACAGCAATGGGACCAGGGACTCTATGTATATGAACTGGACCCAGGGTGCTCGCCAAGAAGACCAATGTCTCCATCCTATCATCCTTCCGGCTCTGAAATGGTCTTGTCAGACCGAAAGGGCATAGCCCAACAAAACAAACTATATTTGATATTCGGCTGCGTGGTGTAGTGGTTAGCGCACTAACATCCCGTTCAAATGACACGGGGTTCGAATCCCATCGCCGGCTGATGCTTTTGGCGTAAACATGCCGACGTCGGCGACTGGGGGGCTCGAATCCCGCCGCCGGTTGATATTTTTGGCGCGTTGTCCCAATAAACATGCCGACGTCGGCCCCGTTGGTCCAACGACGAACGATCTCGTCAACCTCGGCAAACGACCTCGGCCCGACGTCGGCTCGACGTCGGCTGGACTTCGGCTGGACGTCGGAACATGCGGGCATATCCGACGTCCAGCCGATGTCGGGACGAGGTTGAACCGACGTTGGGCCGACATCGGGCCGAGCCTCGGCCCGACGTCGGGCCGACGTCGGCATGTTTACTGGGACGCCAGCGGTAGAAGGAAAACTGCTATATGATGCAGGCACCAGCTGCTGACAACTGGGTCAAAATAGGTGGAGGGCGGCCAGAGGTCATGCTCGTATCGCTCTTCCTTGACCCCGTCCACCGCCCCAGGCGGATACGGGCGCCGCTTGGGTTCGCCAGCCAGGTGCTCATTGGTCTGTCAGCATTGGTGAACGCCAGTCACTGTGAACTCAGTGTGGGTCACCCGTAAAATCACAACGGATCAGAGTTCCGCCATAACCCTACTCTGAAGAGGCCTTCTGAACGACGTCAGCAGGTCATGGGAGGGGGGCAGTCTGACATGAAATAAGGCTTATTAAAAGAAGATGGCTAAAGGGTGTGATTGGAATCCGCTAGCGGGTGCGCCTGCAACCATGGATGCATTCTGTTAGCGGGTGCAACTGATTCTTTCGTATTTGTGCAGGGGTTTCTGGATTATACCAAAAACCTAGGTGGTAACTAGGTATAGTCCTTTAGTGCCCTGGTATAGTCATGCCGATGGCGGGTCAAATTTTCAGCTTTGTAATGAAACAAATCTAGCGAATCCTCTGCGAGTAGGGTGGCTTCCGTTGACCACATGCTTGCTGCCTGCTGCCATCACAAGGTACCGGACGGCGACTGCCCCTCCCCTATCCCTCCGCAACCACTTCCCTCGCCCCGCCGCGCTGGCTGCCACAGCATGTCAGGCTTCGGTCAGTGCTACCAGTGGCTCTCAAACTTTTCCGCTCAATCGCCGCTGGGACAGATAGTGCCCTCCCCTCAGAGTTGCGATACTTTCAAGAGTGACTATACACAGTGAATGAATTAGTTGCCTGGTCGTCAGCATTCCTTTGTATTTTAACCCTCACCATGGCAGGGGGTTGATGAGATCCCCCCTAGGTTTTTTTACGAAGGGCGTTGAACCATTAGTTGGATTGTGCTAAAATTTTCAATGGCCTATTGACCTTTGCGCAACTTTTGGTAAAAAGATATTTTTGGGTCATGCCAGATCACCAAGCTATGATTTCATAATAGGTACGGCTCTCGCGAGATTAAGTGGTAGGTTTTGCACTTTTACATTTCCGGTTATATCTCAGAAACAAATCGATCTACGATGAAGCCATTTTACACGATCATGGCCGGCTTGTGAACCAACAAGTCGATCACATCTTCAACACTTAAAAGCTTAAGACGACGAAGATATAGCCTAAAGTTCACGAAATTTTATAAGTGCAAAACCTACCGCTAAAACCCGTGAGACCTGTACCTACAACCAGACATGGACACGGATCCCAAACAACCAATCACGGAAATCGAAATGACGGATTGACGGTCTTCAAGCATGTAATTACGGTGGGAAAACATGGCTAATAAACTCTGTGAAGTTCTCTTTAGAAGCCTTTCAATGAACCAACTATTTTGCATTCCTTCAGAGTTAACGGCTCTGAGAAAATCCCTCAAGATCCATCTCGGATCCATGATTCGTGATCATGGATCCGAGATGGATCTTGAGGGATTTTCTCAAAACTGTAAGCTCAGAGGGAATGCAAAATAGTTGGTTCGTTGAGAGACATCTATCAGTCATGTTTTCCACAATAATTCCACGCTTGAAGACCACTAATCTAGTGGTCATTTTGATTTTCGTGTTTGGTCGTCTGGGATCCGTGTCCATGTCTGCCTACAACCTCAAACCATTTTTGACAATTTTGTGCATTTCGCGTAACTGGACGTGATCTCAACAAACACCCTGTTAAAAGTGAACTATTTCCTTAAATGAAAGTCAATATTTGTTATTTGATAATCTTTTTGAAAATTATAGCTATATGCCTTCACCTCTGGCTGTTCAACATTCCAGTAACTGAGCCATGGGACAGGCAAGTCTATTTGCAAAATACATAATGCTGTGATAAATTACGCTTTACCTGGTTATCGTTTCTTATTCCCACAGAGCAGCCGACAGCCATGGGAAGCCTATTTAGCAAAAAGAAAGAGTCAAGAATCACAGAACAGGATAAAGCTATACTGGTAGGTTTTGACGGTGTTACATGGTTTTCCTTATTGTAGGCTTGAGTGGCTGCCTATTTCAATTATAATTGAGCCATTGAATTGAGCCAAGATGTTAGATCAAATGGAGAAGGAGCAAGATGTATGACATAGCTGGTAACAAAATAGCAAATATCATTTGTTGTGATGAGATGAGCTGATTGATCAGCATATGTTCCTACATTTATTTCTAGATATTCAAGGTCTGATGTATGTTAGATTGTCTGGCCTTAAAGCCTGATTTTCTTTTCACAGCAACTGAAGAAACAGCGTGACCAGCTCAAGCAGTACTCTAAAAGGATTCAGTTGTCTTTAGAAAAGGACCGACAGATGGCAAAAACCCTCCTACACTCGGGACAAAAATCGTAAGATCTGTGCAGGAGCTCTGGCTGACAAATTGGGTTAAAGCCCACTGTAGTGTATAGAATATTCACCCAACCGTTGGACTTGCACCGCCATTTCATTGTAGATGAGAGAAAGTTTCATCAAAAGCCCACTGTCAGATTGATTAAAGTAGGTGATGTTTCCAATATTATTCTTACTCACTAGTCCGCCCACAGATGCCCTAATAACCACACTCAATCGATCTACTGGCATAAGCCTAGACGTTCAATACTTGACATTTTGCTCACCCTGTTTCAGTCGGGCAAAGCTGCTGCTGAAGAAAAAGAGGTTCCAGGAGCAGCTGCTGACCAGGACAGAGGGCATGCTGGACAACATTGAACAGATGACTCACGACCTGGAGTTTGCCCAAGTGGAAATGAAGGTGAGTAACTTCCTGTGACCACTGATTATTAGTAAAGTAATCATGACCACTGACCATTGTGAGAAATAGTAGGCTCTGAGTGTCAGTGATGATTGGTAAGCAGAGCTAGTTAATCATTCCATATTTGTCTCTTCTCAAGTATTCTTACATGTTCAATATTTATTTTTACAGGTGCTGGATGGTCTGAAAGATGGAAATGCCGCCTTGAAGAAAATGCACGACTTGGTCAGCATCGACGAGATCGAACGGATCATGGATGAAACGCAGGAGGGCATAGAAAAACAAAAGGTAAAATGGAAAATGAGTGTTGGTTCCTAGTGTTGTCTGTGGCTCTGCCGATTTCGTTATTTGTGGGCAGAATGTCCATTATATTGTAAGTCGATCCCAACTAATCGTTTTATATTGCATTGGTAAGGTATCACTATTCCATTAATATCTTTCGCGGCTCAATTCGTTACATCATTACATGGAACCTTTATCACCTTTCATAACCTGTTATGCTCTCCAGCCGCGTGAATCTCGGCGCAGTCTGCACCTTTCTTCCACTCGCCCGCCGCGTATGTGACCACCCCCCCCCCCCCCCCTCCCGCAGGAGATCGATGACCTGCTCTCAGGCCAGCTGACCTCAGAAGACGAGGACGCCGTGCTGGCCGAGCTGGACGCCCTAGTAGCTGCCGAAGATGCCGAACGGGAGGCGAAGCTACCGGATGTGCCGGCTGAGCCTCTGCCCGAGCCTGAACCGGAGGCGGAGCCGGCTGCCGAGCAGCCCAAACGGGAGAGGAACTCTGAGAAGGTGGCGCTTCCAGCCTAGGTGGCGCTACCGGCCTAGATGGCGCTACCGGCCTAGGTGGCGCTTCCAGCCTAGGTGGCGCTACCGGCCTAGATGCCGCTGCCCTGTCGCCGCTGGGCGTTGGGTGGGTGGAAAAGAACGCTGATGCTCACGGTGTTCAACGGGATACCGTGTGGACGACTACAGGGACAGAGGTGTGTGGTGTGAAGGAAGAGAGACTGTGATCGTACTCTGTTGCATACGTAGTGCGACGGACAGCAGACCTGGGAATAGCCTGTCGGTGTCTGTCGGGCTGCCAGAAGAGTTGGCAAGAGTCGGAGAAACGGCTTCAACTTGTCGGAGAAAGAGTGTGGGCTACGGCGCCTATCCGTCTTATGAAGCTGGCATGGATTAACCGTTTGGCTGACTAACTTTGCCGAGTCGGGCCTACCACCGTCGGCTAGTGGCAAGCGACCTGCTTCGGCTTCCACGGCGCTTACTCCAGTAATCACTAATCAGCTCACATCACGTCGCAGGCTGTTGACGGAGTGGCCAGCTCCCACCACCGCCTACCGCTGTCTGAGGGACGACCTACCGCAAGCCCTTCATTCAGCCCTTTATCCAGCTAAAGGCGTCAGGAACCCTTCCACTCCGGTCAGTCATTGGGGTGACTTTCACCAGTCAAACCGGCCGTCTGCTTAGGCGGGCTGATTCGTAACCACACCGCCTAGAGACATGAATGTTCTAAACGGGAGCTGATGGGATATGTTCTCAGTGGGACAATCGGGACGTTGTGTGTACAATTTGGATTACTTGTCGATGCATTTTGTATGTGTCTAGGAGGGATAGGGACGGTTATCCGTGAGGATGACGGTCAATCGTGATGAGGATTTAGTCACCTTGATTTGCCGGACTGTCTTTCCACATTCTGATTCATCTTACGCTAGTGTTTTGCGGGGATACCTTGGGTAGCTGTTAAGCTTGTAATGTAACAATAACGAACGAAGTATAAGTGAGCTGATGAGTATTATATTATTTTGTTTTGAGCTGCGGGGTCGCTGCGCATATATTGCGAGAAATAGTTTTTTCTGTCGGCAGGAATCGTTTAATATCAGTACAGTCAGTCAGTACCGCACAACAGGGCGGTGGATCCATCAAGCCCGACCGTTGAGTACCGCGCAAAGTGATGGTGGATCCATCAAGCCTGACCGAGGAAGGGCCTGCTATAATTTGAAAGTCACCGAACCAATTGACCTGGGGAATGGACGAGGATGTCAATTGCTTCGGTGACTCAAATTTAGCAGTCCTTCCTCGGTCAGGCTTGATGGATCCACCGTTACTTTGCGCTGTGCTTTTAAGACAGACTGTATTTGCTATCACATTACACCCCTAACGTTTCGGCTGATGGGTATCAGTTGCTTACTTTGGGCAATCCAATTCAATAGTTTGGTTTGTTTGGTTTGTTAATAAAAGTTAAAAGTTTGGTTAAAGTTTAATAAAGTTTGGTAAGTTTAAATAAATTAAAGTTTGGTTTGTGTCCCTCACGAATGTCATTACGCAAGTGCATACATGGGGCACATAGATTCGTGCAATCTGTTCGTAGCTCACGATTCTGCGACATCTGCTAGCTGACAGCGCTACCAACAGCTTACTAGAGCTGGCAACAGGTGGCGCCGATGTGTCATGATTTGAACTATTCGCAGAGTATGAGTTATTGTAGTTCATTTGTAGTGTTTGGAAATCGGTTCGCATACTTATGTGCTGCCCATGGTGCCTACTGCCTACGGTTTGAATGGATAGGTGTTTTGAATGGCACTGCAGACCAATACAGATTGTGCTACTATAACATGTAACGTTTTTGTAGCTCGTTTTAGGTACTCTATCAGGGAAATGCAGTTGTTTTAACCTGCGCCGAATGGGGATCATATATCAGAGAACACATTGCGGCGATAGTGATGGTGTTTTCTCGCCCCTCTTACTCATCCCTTGCGCCATCAGGTCATCTGAGGTCACAGAGTCCTAGTTTATCATGGTTTATTTGACAAGCTTGCTCACAACTCCCAAAAGCAAGTACAGGATCGCAGGAGAAAAGAATAATGATTGATGTAACTCCTAACCGACATGGGCCATTTATTTGTTTATTTATTTATTTTGTTATTTCACAACATCGCCAACAGGCAGTGCCCATGGAAGGGCGAAGTCAAAAACATAAGAATACCTACATCGAAAGAAAGATTACCTAGATAAGAGTCTACTAGCTTTGCATGCTACATGCCTACACAATAAAAGCATATAATAAAAATAAATATGGTGAATAGATACCTGTTAACCCGCGCCGGGCCCGGGGGGGGGGGGTGTTAAAACGGCGTTTTTGGCACACCTGTTGATGCATGCATCTTTTCCGCACATGTTGTGAAAATTTCAGACCCAGGTCGCCCTTAGGTTAGGTCACCAGGTCACGCCAAGTGACCTCACCTCAGAAAAATGTGAATGCTCGTCATAGCTACACCGATTGATCGATTGCCTTGAAACTTTCTGCGATTGATTAGAGCAACGTTATCTATAGAATTTATATCTCGGAATTTTGATATCGGTGACCTAAGGTCAGGTCAATTTTGCGGCCTCTCCATTACCTATATGTACCTATGTCATTGTAAGTCAATGGGAGAAAATTGAAAAGCGTCTGTTTTGCACGAACGCTATTCTAGACACTCTCAAACATCGAGATGTAGGTAGAATTGACACACTGAGCCGGAAAATAGCAACTGTGACCCTTCGTTATGTCCTCGAGGTCATTTCAGGTCACGAACAGAATCTAACAGTTTTTCGCTAATAACTTCTGATAGAGGCGTGCTAGAGCGCTGAAAACGCCTTAGATGTGTTCGCCTCGACGTTGCGGATCGACTGATATGCAACATGACCTTTTCTGGTCAGGTCATGACCTTGACCTGAGGTCAAATTTTCAAGTTGACCTTTCAAGGTCAAATTATAGTTCATTCGACGCGTTTCGACGAGAGGAACACGATGCTGGCAAAAGTAATGTCATGGCTCTTTTGAGCCAAAAGTAATTGCCGAAAAACGCTTTTCGTAAAAACGGCTATTTTTGGAGTTTTTGCCCTCAGGAGGCTAAACCGTTGACCTGAGGTCAACTCTGAGAACATCACTCAGAAAGTAAACGGGCTATCGAATGCTCCTTTCCGCGGCGCTGTAGCTCTATCGGTTCCCGAGATAGCCGTCGGCAGTTTCCAAAATGTTGAAATAGTCAACATTTTACCTTTGGTGACCTCTGGTGACCTGACCTTTGACCTGACCCAAAAAATGACTGAAGTGTTTTCGTCCTTATTTTGGACGTTCTTTCCATTGCCGCTTACTGCGTGTCGTTACGTGGCCCAGGAGCCGAGTTAGAGGGGGGGGGGGGGCAAAGCTTGCAAGCTTTGACAATTTTCAGCTTGATCCGTTCATGTTTCGAAATATTCGGTAAAACCTACCCTAGTACCAGCGATAGTAGCTAATGAAGTGAGTCTTGGCAGCCCCGGTAAGGGCATTCGGCATCCTGTTTGAACGAGTTTTGAGATGTCAGTTGCCCAGTAAAGGCAGTTGGAATGGCTTCAATGCAACTCGATGTAATTCTTTACAATTAGATACAGCTTGTGTTCTACTGAAATCAATGCTTGTGTAACACGCACACAACATTTTTATAGACTAGGTAACACGCAACACGTGCAGGTTTTGTGTCCATGACCCAATTTGGTCGTTAGTTTATGCTACGGCACAATGCAGGAATATGTTTCAGACACGGACGGAATAGCGGACAATCGCTACCTTTTTGTGTACGATAAGTGACCGCACGATACAATCGACTTCTGAGACACGGAACTGGCTAAAAGTCAGGCACAAGCCCGCGGATAATGATATGTTTACCTCAATGTCGAACTAGGCTAATCGTCCATAACTGAGTGTTTTTCTCAATTTGCGCTTTCGACAATGCCTACAGCCTACAGCCCCCTATCGTTAGCGACGAGCAAGTAGTTAACTTCATAGTTACTGTACGCATATGATACCTGAAAAGTTAACCGCATGTGTTCACGGAACCCTGTATCTGCATACAGAGGCCTGTATGATGTCGATGTGTACCATATATGTATTCCCTTTAGTTCCCGTGCATGTTTCGTTATTGCAATATTGTCCAAGAAATCATAGTTTAGCATTGTGTCGTTCTTGGTTAAATCACGTGATCGAATTGACTTCTAGTGAAACATTGAGACATAAAATTATAAGGACCAGGGAGCTTGTCAGTTGTCTATTTCTGAATGTTTCAACACTTCCAGGGTGAGCATAATTCAGTAAGCGATTTGTCTAAAGAACCAATGGACTGTTTAGAACGAGCTATTAAAGCAAATGACGAGCAATTTGACCTCCCTTGACCAGCATCATGACCGGACCTTGCCCGGAGGTCATCACTCTAAATTGACCTTTCAAAAGTAGACACACCATTCTACTCGGACGAGCATGATTAACGCGATGATGCAAATCGCGTCATTCTGTTACGATTTTTTAAACCTTTCGAAAAAACGGACCCAACAATTGAGTCTTTGAGCTGACCTTAGAGTTGTTTGATCTGAGAATTGATTCCATGATGATAATCGAAATAACAAAGTCTCCTCCTTCCCCCTCCCCCGGGCCATAGTAAAAAGGTTATTGGCCCAACAAACGGTTTAACTGCGAACATGCATATTGCGTTACAGCCTTATGCGATATAGGTATTACGTTGAGATCTGTGTTTTGAGTGTTATATAAGAACAATTCCTACCCACGCGCATTTATCATAAGTTTTCATCAGCAAAACTAGTCTTACTCGTCATCCACTGTATCTTAGACACTTAGGTATTGCATGTTTTATTAGCAAAGCTAGTTTTACTTGTTATTTAGTGAAAGTCGCATTCAAACACCAATTCATTTGTTAGATAAAGTATATTTCACTCAGTAAGGACTTTTTCGGGTCAACTACTTTGAGATGAACTATGAAGCGTGGAATGTTCCCTTACATCTGGCTTAGCAGGTTGTCTGTCGTCGCAAAGCCGGCGAGGGGGGAGGGGGTAAACTGCGTCACCAATGAAACTCCTTCGGGCCGTAACAACACCAAGGGTAAATGCGGAGTTTTTGCGACTCAGTGGTGACTGCGTATGTAACACAGTGCGCATTATGTTCTCCTTATCTACTTATCAATGCTCCATGTTTTTTTTCGATCGGAGTCTTGCTCACTTTGGGAAAAAGTAGGTACGTTCTGTCAAGAAGATAATTACGGAGATGTTCATATTCATGATTTGACGACCTTTCTTGAATCAAACTACGAGTTTCTCCTGTTTTTTCACGATGCCGTTTTGTTACGGTGGGTCGTATGCTGGAATTTAGAGCGGCGCGGGTTATGGTAGGTATGCTTGCAGTCATGGAAATTCCATGTTGTGTCTCAGTGACCATCTCTCCCTAAGGCGGAAAAACCACGCTGCCACTCATTTTCCGTCTTTGAAACGGTTTGTGTATACATCATCATGCCTGTGCTAGTAATTTACTAGAAAACATATCACTTCTGAAGTGCTAACTATATTCAATGAATTTCAAATGAATTATGATCTGCGGCAGAAAAAAGCGTGTTCATAAGAGTTGTTACTGGCTTTTATTTTTCCTTTTTGTCTGCCTTTTTAAAAAAAAAAAAAAATCTTGAAAGCACTATTTCGATAATAAATATTTACTTGATAGAGCTCTTCAATCAAAACCTTTATGCATACCAGCATAACCATTACTTTCTCTCGTATCTACCGGTCGTTGTTCTAGTTTCCAATTAATATGACAAATAACCTCCCTGTGGCATGTATTTACCCGTTGTGTTACAGCGGTTTTACAGCATTATAATATGACGTCACTGACGGCCTTAGTTCTTCGAGGAGTAGGATATATGTTTATAACTTAATAAGTATA